CCTTAGCTGTCTACTAGAGGGGGTGATACGAGCATCCCCCGCTAGTCGTAGCCTCCAGCTGCTCCATCTATTGGTGGGGAGCTGCACCTGCTGAAACCGGGTCCAGCATCCCATTATACATGAAAGGCACAGATTGCTCAGAATACTCAGACTGCCAGCATTGACTACCCCAATCAAAAGAAAAGGGGGTTAACTGAACAGCAAAAAGGAAACAGATATGTAAGTTAGCGGAGTCCTCCCTAGGGGGCTCCAGGGAGGAGTTCCATATGCAAGCATATAAATTATGTACATATATGTGTATACAGATGTATGTGAATGTAAAGGAGACTGGGCTAAGTATTTTAACATTCAGGACAAAATCTCTGTCAGGGAAAGGGCAGGAGGTGGGAACAGGTCTAGAAAGTCCGAGGGAGGGCGTAGTGGAAACGAGGGTTCTATGTTTGTCCAGTCTTTGAAAATTAGACGGTCGTCTCTCATTTCTTCCAAATCCCGTTGTCCCTCTCCCCTGTCTCCACTCCATTCCACTTTTGCCATCCATCCTTCTCTCTCCCCTCTTACCCAATCTGTGCAAAATGTTGTAATTTGTCTCCTAACATCTTCAATTTATCTAAAAAGGTCTAATTGTGCTTTTGTGTCTGACCATTTTTGTGCGAGTTCAAGATGCACCTGCTGTTGAATCTGTTTTGTGATCTCTAACCCTTTTACTATCACCTTCTCCATGACCAGGGTGCATCTTTGCCACCAAAGTGCCCATATCACCGCCCTCCTTCCATGTCTGTACGTATTCTCTACGAAGGTCGTGGCTGCTCCTGCCAACGGCCAATGGCCAGCCAATATGGCTTGCCATGACAAGGGTCAGGGGATTGCAGATTTCATTTTCCTCCATATGCGGTCCCACCATCTCCATATGAATTGGGCGATCGGGCATTGCATGAAAATATATTCGATGGCCTCTGCCTTCCTATGGAAAGGGAAAAGACTCTGGCACCCCTGGCACCATGGAAGTAGCAGACCTCTTTGTTCTAGATTAGTGCGGTCAGTCAAACAGTCATTGGTTGGCAAACAACGGTGAGCAATTTGCCACTGGAGGGAGATTATTTTCATGGTTTTATATTTTTTTTCCTTGAACCATTGAATCGGTGACAGGAGGGAGCGGTCCACATTTAGGTGTCTAGCCCATCGGTCGTTAACCGTGTCGCTCAAACGCCTTTTAGGTCTGAGCATTTTGTAGGCTGATTTAACCGACGACTGGTGCAGGCTGATGTGACCAGCTTTGGACCCTCCCCTCTTCTGGGGGGGCTTCCATGTCCATTCTGCTGGGTCCAGAGCCAGATCCTATATTTATTTGAATGGCTGGAACACCACCCCCTATCCCTTCTCTTCTATAACTCTCACTCGGTACATTGATGTTTCCTCTTTCCATTCAAAAGGGACTCTATTCCCTTGGATGGTGCTTGCTCTGATGATAGTGTAGTGTTCGACCAAGACTCTTTGGGGTGAGACCATATGTACATGGCCCATCCTGAGCAGGGTCTCCGTATTTGTTACCCAATCGCCTACTCTCAAAGTGGAACCTCGTTTAAGAATTCGGTACCACGCCAGTGGGATGGCTTCAATTAGGTTATCCAAAAACTCCTCTACGTGGTAGCAATGTCATAAACTTTCTTGCAACTGGTCTCCTGTTATCCAGTCCTGTCTCTCATTGTCGTAGAGATCCTCAACCCTGAGCACCCCTCGTTTAACCCGACTTTTCCAGGGCAGGGATGAGTTTGTCATGATGCAGCCTCTTAGATTTGTCACCCATCGATTTCCAAAGAGGGGTTATCAGTAGACTTCCTCCCAAAGGTTGGGGTGGGTCTTGTCTGGGAGCGGAAGTCTACGCCAGGTTTCCAGTAGAGATGGCCAAAAAAATTGGTTATCGCTTGGTCACCGCCATCCTTAAATCATCCAGAAACGGTCATTCATCCATATCACCGGGTGAATCACTTGTATATTTTTATTCTCCATAAAGCCGGTTTGGGAGGGATGGATGATGTCTTCCATTACTGGGATCATTCCGTTAGCTAAGGTTTCAGGCAACATTTTGTATACCACAGTCAGAAGTGTAATTGGGCAGTAATTTCTAGTATCCATCTTGTCCTCTTTTTTAATATAGGAGGGTCAATATCCCTTGCCCCACCCTTTCTCTCATCTCACCTGTGAGCCATACTTTTCCGTAAAGATCCATGACATCCAGGCTAAAAAAATCTCATGTGGTTTTTCAAATTCATTAGGGAAACTATCAATCTCAGGTGCCTTTCCCTCCTTCATTTGCAAGAGGGCACTCTATATCTTCTGTTTAGAGAGTGAGACCTCTAAGGATACATATTATTCATGTGTCAGTGTTTTGTTTACCAATTCCACAAATTATTTTAATTGATGATCATGGTATGACGCATCCGACTTATCTACATGCGAGGATAATAGGTTTTTATAAAAAATGTATGTTATCTTAGCGCATCGAGTCATGGTCACGGTCGGGGCCGATTCCCTGGCTTTCGGTTCGTAAAGTGCCTCAATCATGGTCCTTTTGATTCGTGTTTTTGCTAAGCCGGAGAAGTGATAATTCATCGCTCCTTCAATAGAAAAGTTTTGGATAGCATTGCCGTTGTCTGGGCTCCCTGCCATCGATACTATGCGTGTTTCAAAAGTTGGGTCTTCAAGTCCAGTATATTGATTTGTAGTTAAGAGGTCTTTGGTTCCTGCCCTTGCGAATTTTGTTTCTGCTCTGCATCCACGAGGTTTTGAACTATCGTGATTTGTTGCTGGTGTC